TTTATGGTATGCTATATTTATGGGTAAAAGTGCTCAATATCAGAGATAGAGCGTATGTAAATATAAAAGTGGACACTGAGGTTAGCACCAATACGCCAACAGTCTGTTTCATGCTCGAACGCAATCTTCAATCGTATTGTCTTTTTGCCCGACTATTTATATATGCTAGCCAGTGGTGCATTATGGACAACTGATTATTATTACATTTACTTGTAAATTTCCAGGTAAATGTAATAATGATTATCAACAACAAATAATTAAGTAATCGATAATAAATAATGAATAGAAGGTTAACAAAAAAAAAAAAAGAACTATAAAATCTTTACAAATAACTGCATCCGGATCTACAATTATTTCCACTACATAGGCACTAGAATAATTTGAAACAAGCGTTACACTTCACCCAATAACTGCTAGGATAACACAATAGGTACTACTACCCATAATGCACCATTAAACAGTTTCCACTTATATATATATATATATATATATATGCGTATGTAATGATAATGAAAATAATATAAATTCTAAAGTTCACAGCATTAATTCAAAAGAGGGCTCAATACCAAGAGTAGAGCAATAATTATTTATTATAATTTTTACATACGGACAAAACATAAGCGGTTTGCTTGTAAATAGAATTGTTCGCAAGCATTTTTGGTTCTCACCAGTCGAGAAGCAGCTGCATCAAAACAAGAATGCATCTTTGTAGTGAGCAAGTTGTTTTTGCCCGTATGTAAAAATTATAATATATATATATATATATATATATATATATATATATATATATAGTTACATTAATGAGGTAAAGAGATCAATATTAGGGATAGAGCGTATGTAAATATAAAGGTTGACATTGAACTCAACAGCCAGATGCGACAGTCTGTTTCATGCATATACTTAATCGTCAGGCTATGTCTCCGTTGGGCGTTGACTTCAATCTCTACTTAAATAAATTTTTGCAACGAATGCCAAAACATTTTTGCTGCACTAATCAAGGCTAAAGAAGGATATTTTGATGAGAGTAAAATTTTATCATTATTTTTCTTTTTGTTATAATAAGATTTCTAATAAAAAATCATATCTATTTTTTTTTAACTATGTATAATAAATTTGTTATTTAAAATACAAAATAAGTACTTTCGGGACTAATTTAAAATTACCAGCTGTGGCCTCAAACTTTTGAACTATTTTGCATACATACATACATACATATATATATATATATATATATATATATATATATATATATATATATATATATATATATATATATATATATATGTATGTATCTCTAGATATGTCTAGCATGAAACAGCCTGTCGCCTCTGAGTGTTGACTTCAATGTTCACTTTTATATTTATATTTTACACACGCTCTATCTCTGATATTGAGCACTTTACCCCATAAATATAGCACACCTTAAAACTATATTTCTTCATATATATATATATATATATATATATATATATATATATATATATATATATATATATATATATTCTCTGGCGTTATAAGTTAATATTATTATTGATTGTCCACTCCCATATTTCTTTGTCCATCACACTTATTCCTGTTAGGTTTTGTTTATATTTTTTTGTTTTTTAGTCCGCCTGGCACTAAATTTTATAAATAGATATAAACATCTTTCAATGATCTTGACCCCCATATCCAAGTTTATTGAGTGCTTCTGGACGCCATGTGAACATATGGTGGGATCACCTGGCCTTTTTAAACGATATTCTGCACTACTTATTCTTTTCTCTCATTAAAAAAAAAATCGTTGAAATAAAGTCGGATTTAATTATTTTTTTAATTCCGCTAATTTAAAAAAAAATATAATTATTTTACCGCAAGCAAGGCGATAATGCTACTGGGAGTGTAAGAGTATGAGAAGACTTTAGAAGTAAATGAAAAGCCAATCCTAAACAGGAAACAAGAGATAAACCTCCACTCCTTTTCAAAAGACGGAGAAGGAGGGTGAACTGGGCGATTGGCGCAACTATCTACTCTTATTAATTTTTTTTTTTAATTCTGTAAGCTTGGATTATTAAAACAGAAACGAATTAAAAAAAAAAATGAACAAAAAAGAGAATTATACCTAAAATCAAAAAGATTTAGTTGAAATTTCTGGGATACCCCTAAAATATCCTGAATCGAGGAACTGACTTAACGAGTTTGCATGAATGGCTGGCAGAACAAGGATAAAGAGGAATGGTAAAGGGAGCAACAAAAACAGGAAGTTGTGGAGAACCATGTTCGACCACATAATAAAAGGAAAATGCATATAAAAGAAGTGAATGAATGGAAGGACAAGGACAAAAAACGATGGTAAAAGGAGAAAAATAACTAAGACAGTAACAAAATACAGGAAGTTGTGGAGAGCCATGTCATGAGAGGACATGCATAAAAAAAAAGGAATAAGCTGAAAAGGAGGGATGTTAAAAGAAGAAAATACCAAAACAAAAGGATATCTGTCTATAGCTGAAAGTATTATGTACACTATTTAAAAAGTCCTCAGGATTACAACGTTTAAAAGAATTTCTGAAAAATATTAATAACTATTTACAAAAGACAGGAACGTTTCGGCCTTTATCTGTCTATATTTCTGAGATGAAGTATTATGTACACTATTTACATTATTCGGACTATTGTCCTCATCTTTGTCGCCATATTTATTACAACGTTTCGGCCTTTCAGTATCTGTCTATATTTCTGAGATGAGGTATTATGTACACTATTTACATTATTCGGACTATTGTCCTCATCTTTGTCGCCATATTTATTACAACGTTTCGGCCTTTCAGCATCTGTCTATATTTCTGAGATGAAGTATTATGTACACTATTTACATTATTCGGACTATTGTCCTCATCTTTGTTGCCATATTTATTACAACGTTTCGGCCTTTCAGTATCTGTCTATATTTCTGAGATGAGGTATTATGTACACTATTTACATTATTCGGACTACTATCCTCATCTTTGTCGCCATATTTATTGCAACGTTTCGGCCTTTCAGTATCTGTCTATATTTCTGAGATGAAGTATTATGTACACTATTTACATTATTCGGACTATTGTCCTCATCTTTGTCGCCATATTTATTACAACGTTTCGGCCTTTCAGTATCTGTCTATATTTCTGAGATGAGGTATTATGTACACTATTTACATTATTCGGACTATTGTCCTCATCTTTGTCGCCATATTTATTACAACGTTTCGACCGTTGTACGTTCCGGCCTTCTTCAGGGGGTATGTCGAACTGAACTCTTTATTTCGCTCACTGCGGTAGACTGTTCAAGTTTCACGTGCCATGTTTAATGGATGCCAGTTATCAGTTATCTCCTGTTAATTTCCCTCTGAATGTTCTCCACTGCCTTAATCGGGTATTGAACTCACACTCTTTGGGTCCTGTCACTGGATCTAACCAACGCTTTTATCCACTGTGTCATGTGTCCGTTTATGTTTGTGTGTATCTATGGCATTGAGGCATTCATTTCTAAGATTTTTCTCGTACCCGTGGGTGGCCATGGCTCTCCACAACTTCTTATGCATTGTATTTCTCAGTAATGTTGTTTTTTTTACCCACCCACTATTTTCTGTTCTGTCAATCTTGCCCCCAAAATTATCATTATTTACATTCGGAAGAAAATACAGGAAGATTTCCAGGCGGTACTAAAGGAAAGTGAGAAGAAAGGACTATTCATCAATTGTAAGAAGACAGAATTTATTGATTTTCAGTAAAAGGGAAAGATAGAAGAATCCAGTACTTACGCTGGCAGCAAAAAAGAATTCAGTAAATATACAACAATAGGAAAGGATGTAAGACAAGGTTGTGTCGTCTCACCGGACTTATTCAAACTTTAGAGTGAGATGATTGTGAGAGAATAAGACGTTCTTATCGAGATTCATTATTGGCTGCCATAATTTTTAACACTGTATGATATGCAGGTGACACAGTGTTTATAGCAGACCCAGAAAATAAGCTACCATAACCACTACAGAAGGTAGTGAATAAAAGTGAGAAGAAAGAACTAAACATCAATTGCAAGAAGACAGAATATATGGTTGTCAGCAAAAGGGACAGCCCAACTTGAGAATTACAAAATCGAGATGGCCAAAATAAAGCAAGTACAAATTTCAAATATATCTAAAAAGTGTTTTAACAGAGGACGGAAAATACGACATCGGAATCCGAAGAGTCATTGGGATAGCGAAAGACGTCTTCCAAAAGCTAAGAAAAGTATTAAGAAACAGGAAAATGTCACTAGAAACGAATACAAAGAGTACAAAGATGTTAGGTAATATCAGTCCTCTTATATGTCAGTGAACGCTAGACAATCTCACCACTGATGAAGAAACGATTTGAAACAACAGAAATATGGTTCTACAGAAGCATGATGAGAATACCACGGATTCAGCATGGGAGCAACGACGTAGTTTTCGGAAAAAATGGAAACAAAACGGACACTTAGCACCAGAAAGTGTTAGTTTAAATTTCAAGATAGATAATGAGGAAAGATAGGCTAGAAAATCTGACACCCACAGGATATACTAAAAGCAGAAGACATGGAGAAATGCAGCGCCTAATTTACCTAATGAGGTTGTGTAAAGGGCTGGCAGAACAAGGATTAGGTGAGATATCGGAAAAAAAAAACTTTATTGAGGGCTACAGAGGACAGGAAATTATGGAGAGTCATGATCACCAACGCCACGGCACATGGAAGACGAATAAAGTCCTTATCTTTATTGTAATTATCACAGTGTTTCAAGTGTTGTGTCCTCAGGCCTTCTTCAGGAGCCAGTTAATTTCCTTCGAATTGAACCCTTTCTTCAATCTTGTTCTCGTTCTGTGATCAGATGACCGAAGTGAAGACACATCGATATTTTCAGCCTATTAAATCGTGCAGTGACCCCTATTCGAACGATTGTCGATACTCAATCAGAAATAGTGACTTTTGAATCACGCAAACATATGTAAAAATAATGAATATACCGAGATAGATAGATAGATAGATATGAAAGAAAGGAGACAGACAGACAGACAGACAGACAGATAGATACATACATATGTACATACATACATACATAAATAGATACGAAAAGATACGAAAGGAGATAGATAGATACGAAAAGAGATAGATAGATAGATAGATAGATAGATAATGAATATACCGAGATAGATAGATAGATAGATAGATAGATAGATAGATAGATAGATAGATATGAAAGAAAGGAGACAGAAAGACAGACAGACAGACAGATAGATACATGTATAGATAGTACATACATACATACATAAATAGATAACACAGTGATAGATAGATAGATAGATAGATAGATAGATAGATAGATAGATAGATATGAAAGAAAGGAGACAGAAAGACAGACAAACAGACAGACAGACAGATACATACATGTACATAGATTATGATAGATACAGTGAAAATAGATAGATAAATAGATAGATATAGATAGATAGATAAGGAATAGACTGAGATAGATAGATAAATAGATAGATAGATAGATAGATAGATAGATATGAATAGACTGAGATAGATAGATAGATAGATAGATAGATAGATAGATAGATAGATAGATATGAACAGACCGAAATAGATAGATAGATAGATAGATAGATAGATAGATAGATAGATAGATAGCACTGTGTAACATGATTTTTGTCCGTGGCTATCAACTGTTGTTTCCTGTTCGCTTACGCCTAGAAAATATGAAAAATGGCTAATATTTGCTTTTGTGTCCAGAATAATGGTACTTCTGAAATTCACCTGAAATCCACTTGTCCCCATTGGGGAAAACTGGCGAATATGAACATTCTTATTCACGCAAAGTAGGAACAAAACGACATAGAATTCAAAAGTAGCATTTATCTTATTCTGGGATTATACAAGAGGGACAACAAAAAGTTTAGAAGTTAGTAATTTTTCGCGATTTACGCTTATACTTTAAATCACATTCACGAATCAGCTCCCAAATATAGTCTCCCGTCCAAGGATTTGTTAGAGATGCTCAACAACCTTGACATAATCGGGAAAGACATTAGAATAATCAAAAATCTATTCTGGCAGCAGACCACCTGCATAAAGACATCCAAAAATAGAAAGGGATGTAAGGCAAGGATGTGTCTTCTCACCGGATTTATTCAGCCTACACAGCGAGGCAATTCTAAGAACAATGGAAATCCTACCAGGATGCATCATTGGAGGCCACAATCTTAACAACATAAGATATGCAGATGACACAGTGCTGATAGCAGACACGGAAAAGAAACTACAAAAACCTCCTACAGAAAGTAGTGAAGGAGAGCATGAAGAAGGGACTAAGCATAAACTATAGATAGATAGATAGATAGATAGATGCGTTAGTTAGTTAGATCCAGTGATCCCTCTGGGTCCTGTCACTGGATCTAACTAACACCTTTATCCATTGTGCCATGTGTCCTTGAGGACATCTGTGTATAATTTTCTGGGTATTATAAACCTAATGTCATCAGCAACCATTTTTTACCAGTCCTCATATTGCAAATTTGCTGTTATCAGTCATGTTTTTACCAGAGCTCATATTGCAATTTTGTTGCTGTTATTATTACTTTTCTCTGGCATTCCTTATTACTGGTTCCCATATTGTATTCATTTCTATGCTTGGTCGGCTCATAAGATTTTTGTGGCCTAGCATGGGCTGATTCCTTAAGTTTACGAAATTTCCAATCGTGTTCTTTGTGATCTCAACCTGATCCCATGTTTGAGTTCAATACCCGGTTAAGGCAGTGGAGAACTTTCAAAGGGAAATTAACAGGAGATAACTGATAACTGACATCCATTAAACATGTCATGTGGAACTAGAACAGTCTACCCCAGTGAGCGAAATAAAGGGTTCAGTTCGACATTCCAACCACCTGAAGAAGGCCGGAGTGTACAACAGCCGAAACGATGTAATAAATATTTCGACAAAGATGAGGACAATAGTCTGAATAATATAAATAGTGTATCATCCCGATTGTTATCACCAAACGTTGTTCTTAAACAACTTTTACTATGTTTCATGTTCAAAAAAAGCTGTTCACAAGCATGCGCACTTATCCGTGATCTTTCCCTCCGATACACACAAATGGCCTCCTAACGTAACCCTCTAACTCAAGTGGCCCTCGGGCCTTGTAAAGGGTGAACCTGGCTGTAGAAAATAAATAAATAAAATAAATAACAAGATATCAGCTAACAAAATCAAGAAAAATGCAAATTCCTTTCTACAAACGAAATAGTTAGAAATGGTAAATTATTTAACGAGACAGTTGTTTCTACTTATCGTTCGATAAGATAGATAGATATACCGAGATAGATAGATAGATAGATAATGAATAGATAGATAGATAGATAGATAGATAGATAGATAGATAATGAACACACGCAGATAGATAGATAGATAGATAGATAGATAGATAGATAGATAATGAACACACGCAGATAGATAGATAGATAGATAGATAGATAGATAGATAGATAGATAGATAATGAACACATTCAGATAGATAGATGTATAATGAAACACACTCAAATAGATAGATAGATAGATAGATAGATAGATAGATAGATAATGAACACACTCAAATAGATAGATAGATAGATAGATAGATAGATAGATAGATAGATAGATAATGAACAGTCTGAGATACAGGGCGCGATGGGTAAATTGTTGCCATTTTATATTTTTAATTTCGCGCATGCGTGTTGTTTGTTTTTGATTTTGTCGACGGCACAGCATAGTAGGGTCAGTTAGGCACCGTCTGTGAGGAAAAGATCACCATGATGCAATTCACTCTACCAGAAATTTGCAAACGGCATGCTGTATTACTTGCAATTCCCACCGGAAGCGCCAATACGAACATTTCAGATTATTTGTGTGTCAATCCGAGGACAATGCAGAGGATTCAGAAAGAGATGAGTCTAATGGTGATTACGAAGGAACAGCAGCTCGGAAAAAATCACTCTAACCTTTCTGATAAGAAAACAACTCCCGAATTTGTTGGTGAGGGTCTCAGACTCAACACGGAGGCCTACATCAAGTGCCTTGACAAGGTAGTGTTGCCCTAGGTCATAAGGGTGGCCGCTGCAAGACTCTATGTCTGGCAACAGGACTCTGTACCCACCTTGGTTTGCTTTATTTTACGGTATATCAACCTCAATCGGTTATTTAATGTCGACAAGTTTTTTTTTATTGCTGATTATTTTTTTTTTCAAAAATTTATTTCTGGAAATTTTTTTTTTTAAAGGTATTGCTGGTAAAATTTTTCCTCCAAAATTATTGCTTGTATTAAACCCTATTTTTATATTTTCATACTGTTTTGGGCCCTTTTGGTGGGGGTTAATTATTTGTCCATAGCTGGGACCCTGACAGGTGCTACCACATCGGGTCAGGGTGGACCTGGGAAACACCAGCAATTAAGAGGTGGTTCCACGCTCCTCAAAACCTCCTGATCAGAGGCCTTGCTGTTGGATGTAGTTTATCGTCACACCCAGGACGCACACCCACTTTGATTTTTATGTTCGGGGCACAATTGGTCGAGAGACTAACAAGACTCCTTGTAACACAAAAGATGAATTTAAGGCAAGGATTATGGCAGCAATCGCGAACTTAAACAAGGAGACTGTCCAGAAGAGTTGCAGGAGATTCCGAAGTCGTCTGTAGACCGTGGTTGAAAGGAATGGCGATTTTATTGAATACGTTTACTCTTTAGTATTTCAAGATATTTTTGTTTAATTTTAGTAAATATTTCTGTTAAAATGAAATTTCATTTTTCGGTAATTTAGAGGACAATTTATCCATCGCACTTTGTATAGTAATTGACTAAGCGTAGCTTAGATTTGACACAAGGCATAAGCATAGACGTGGCACAAGGCCGAATGTATGGAGCACTCAGTGAGGATCAAGCTCACTACTCCGTCATAAGTGATCTATCAAAACAAACTTGCTAACCCTCACACAACGACGAATTGCCAAAAAACGATTTTCTAAGCATAGATGTGGCACAAGGCCGAAGTTGTGGAGCAAACAGTGAGGATTGAACTCACTACTCAGTCGTTATTGGTCCAGCAAGGCAAGTTTGCTGACCATTGCACTGTGTCAAAGTGCCCCAAAATATTTCCTAAGCGTTGATGTCGCACAAAGCCGAAAATGCTGTGCCCCCAGTGAAGATTGAACTCACAACTCAATCGCAATTGACGTAGACAGACAAGCTCGATAAGCACGTCGGTGTGTCTTAAACGATTTTCGATGTAGCGGTATCAGATAGATATGAACAGACCAAGATAGATAGATATGAACAGATAGATTAGACATAGATAGATAGATAGATAGATAGATAGATAGATAGATAGATAGATAGATAGACATGAAAAGACAGACATATAGATAGATAGATAGATAGATAGATAGATAGATATGAACCGATAGATAGAGATATAGATAGATATGACAGACAGATAGATACATACATACATATGTACATACATACATACATACATAAATAGATACTAACACAGTGATAGATACGAAAAGAGATAGATTGATAGATAGATATGAATAGACTGAGATAGATAGATAGATAGATAGATAGATAGATAGATAATGAATATACCGAGATAGATAGATAGATAGATAGATAGATAGATAGATAGATAGATAGATAGATAGATATGAAAGAAAGGAGACAGAAAGACAGACAGACAGACAGACAGATAGATACATACATATGTACATACATACATACATACATACATACATAAATAGATACTAACACAGTGATAGATACGAAAAGAGATAGATAGATAGATAGATAGATAGATAGATAGATAGATAGATAATGGACAGACAGATAGATAGATAGATAGATAGATAGATAGATAGATAGATAGATAGATAGATAGATAGATAATGACTAGACTAAGATCGATTGATAGATAAAATGAATGAATGAAATGTAGATTTAATAAAAATATGTTCGCTGTAAACATTCCGATCTCAATAGAAATGACGGTTTTCCAACGTCAGCGTCAATCAGACTTTGCTTTGAGACGAAGACATGATGTGCAGTGTGACTCCTTGATGAAAAAAAAAGTGAGTATGCCAATTGTAACAACAGCAGCAGTGGGTGCAATAGCAGCAGTAACAACAGACTAACAAATGCAAGACGCCGTATAATCGATAGATGTAGCGACATTCCCGTTTCGAATGTGTGGATGGCAGTCGGTATATCCAGACGATATGTTGCCAATAGAACAATGGTGGATCAAACGCAGTAAAGAAATTAGACATTATTGGTTCTATTATGCAATTTTGTTCTTGGCAATATTTGGAATTATTTTGGGCTCGTTTTTGCATTCACACATTTTTATTTTCCTTCTTTCTTTCTTTCAATTGTCTCTCTTTTGCTTCATCATTTCTAACTTTCTTTTTCACGGTTTTGACTCTCTCTCTCTCTTTTTCTATTGAGAGCTATATATTAGGTTGGTGCATAATTATCAGGCGTTTTTCATATTAGATATTGTTTAAAAACGCTTCATAATTATGCACCAACCCAATAGAAGCATGCACTAACCCATGCAATTTTGATATTCTAATAGTCTTTCTTTCGTTCCTTCTTCCTTTTTCTCTCTTTTTTTTTCTTTCTTTTTGTTTCTGGCTTACTCTTTCGCGCTTTTTACTTTCCTTCGTTCTTTCTTTCAATTGTCTCTCTTTTGCTTCATTATTTCTAACTTTCTTTTTCACGGTGTTGACTCTCTCTCTCTCTCTTTCTGTTGAGAGCTATATATTAGGCTGGTGCATAATTATCAGGCGTTTTTCATATTAAATATTGTTTAAAAACGTTTCATAATTATGCACCAACCCAATAAAAGCATGCACTAACCCATGCAATTTTGATATTCTAATATCCTTTCTTTCGTTCCTTCTTCCTTTTTCTCTCTTTTTTTTCTTTTTGTTTCTGGCTTACTCTTTCGCGCTTTTTACTTTCTTTCGTTCTTTCTTTCAACTGTCTTTCTTCAGTTTCTTTGTTTCTACCTTTCTTTTTTAACGGTTTTGTCTGTCTCTCTTTTTTTTTTATTCAGGGCTATAGAGAAGGGTTCATTCAACAATCCATGCAATTTTTATCTTGTAATTTTCTTTCTTTCTTTCGAACGTGAATGTGTATATATGGGGATTTTCTAAGCGTAGATAAGATGTGGTACAAGGCCGAAAGTATGGGGCACCCAGTGAGGATCGAACTCACTATTCAGTCGTAACCTAGCGAGACAAGCTTGCTAACCATTACACCACGTGGAAGTGCCCTGTGAAGGTGTATAGTGATTTTCCAAGCATAGCTTAGATGTGGCACAAGGCCGAAATTAGGGGGCACCCAGTGAGAATCGAACTCATAATCGTAATTATTCTAGCGAGACAAGCTTGCTAAACATTACACCACTTGGAAGTGCCCTGTGAAGGTGTATAGTGATTTTCCAAGCATAGCTTAGATGTGGCACAAGGCCGAAATTAGGGGGCACCCAGTGAGAATCGAACTCATAATCGTAATTATTCTAGCGAGACAAGCTTGCTAACCATTACACCACGTGGAAGTGCCCTGGGAATGTGTATAGTGATTTTCCAAGCATAGCTTAGATGTGGCACAAGGCCGAAATTAGGGGGCACCCAGTGAGAATCGAACTCATAATCGTAATTATTCTAGCGAGACAAGCTTGCTAATCATTACACCACGTGGAAGTGCCCTGTGAAGGTGTATATATGAGTTGTTTGTTTAGACGTCAAAGCGTAGACAGGAAATGCTGACACAACATAACGTTTATTGACACGGAAAACAAAATCATCACACTATGTTCAAATTTCGTCTTAGTCTTCTTGTATTCGTTTGGAACAGAGGCGTTCCTGATTCCATACAGCTTTCTATGGTGTGTGGTTTTTAGCAGTTTTCCACTAATTGTTAAGGCCCCGTTTCGCCATCCATTTGTAAAAGCCCATCATTCCCAACCGCCCCAGTTTATTTTGGCCCCTTTTTTATCTCGACTGGGTCAGCTTTTTTCTTTCCCATGTCCGTATAATTTTCTCCTTTCGCACTCCCTTAGCGAGAGAACCTCATGTTTGTGTCCAATGGGCAGAATACAGCGGCCGCTCTCTTTTTTTGAGGGTTGGACGGGCACTACTAACATCAGTTATGTTTAGTTTACTTTGTCTTCATGTTTAGTTTGTTAATGGGTTCATCTCCCTCCCCTCTCATTCTTCATCTTTAGAATTTTATATATAATAAGTTATTATCATTAAATTCTTAAGGCATGGGGTGCGTTTTGTAGGTCCCCTCCTCCCTGGAGAGGATGTGGTATTATGGTGTATGGAGGATTGATTGGTGACGGACGAATTTTTGTGGTGAATGTGCAAATTATAATAAGTGAATAGGCCGTGAATCGGATTAGCTAGGTATAAGATAGATAGTGAAGACCAGCCTTAATCCCTCCCCTTTTTTCGGCCTTGTGCCATACTTGTATTTTTATATACAATAAATACTAGTAATCGGCTCGCTGCCTTTCCTTATCTCTCTTGCCCTCATTATGCCTTCCTGTGGGTCAAGTTTTCCAAAAGATCCGTCTTTATTGTGTTTCCAAGGAATTACAGCTTTCTTTTGCTGATTTTGAGTACGAGTCTTCTTTCTGTTAACATTTTCTTTAAGCCTTTGAGTCCTGCGTTTCTGAACAATTTTAACTCTTCTGTCTGAGCTCCTGGGGTCAAAATCCGCAAATAACTGGTATGTAATGTTTCACGGTAGATATAAAAATAGTTACAAAAAATATAAGCATTATACTTAGCAGGGAGAGAGTATGATTGCATGCCTTCACTTCACGCTTTTCTTTTCCATTTCGAAGCACTTTGCTTACCTCTTGGAATTCCCCTTTCGCTATTCCGATGCGTGCTTCGGATCTCAGTGTCACATTTTCCATCTACTGTCAAAGCGCTTTCCAGATATTTAAACATTTGTGCTTGTTTGATGTTTATATATTCAATTCGTTACTCGCATCTTGCATTGTTTTTCTCTTGCTGATGACCATACTTTCTGTGTTCTTGCAAAGAATCTAAGCATTATACTTAACAGGGAGGGAGTATGGTTTCATGCCTTCACTTTATCCCCAGAATTCTTTCTTTATGTCCCAGTCTGTCTAAATAAGACAACAGCAAAACACAAGGCGAGTGTTTACCCACCGTTCAACCGGTGGCTGGGCAATAAGTCATTTTTCTCTACCAGTCAGGACTCAAAGGGTTAAGACTTCCTTGTTGCTTACTTGCGCCGTCCATATAATTCTCAGTATCCTTCTGTAGAACTACATTTCTGTTGCTTCCAGTTTTTTTTCTCATCTTTAGGGAAACTGCTCAACATTCACTGCCATATAACAGGATGGATACCGCATAGCAAATCAACGCCCTTCTCTTTAGTTTCTGATGAAAGTTTTCATTTTTCAGCACTTTGCTTAGCTTTTGAAATGCCTCTTTCGCTAGTCCGACGCACGCTTCGGATCTCGGTGTCGCATTTTCCATCTTCTGTTAAAGCACTTCACTGATATTTAAATATCAGGAAAGTGCTTTAACAAAGTGCTTTGAACCTGCTCAATTACTTAATTACCTCCCTTAATTGATCACTATTATAAGTTAAGAAAATAATCCAATATGTCTACTCAAGGCTTATAACAATACAAGCACTGAGTTGTCATGTTTTCATATCTTTGTCTCAAGTTGAATAAAATAACTGTTTAAAGATTTGGTTTGTATTCAAAATAGGCTATATGAAATTATATTTTTTGATAAAGTCTTTTATAAAAAAAAAATAAGAAAGAGGACAAAAGACATTACAGTGAAGTAATGGGAAAGATAAAATTTTCTTGATTTATGTCATAAAAGTAATGATTAAAAACTAAGATGTTTTATTTTAAGTACTAGACTAGTTTGCTAAAATGTTGTAGCGTCTTCCCTCTAATGAGTCTATTATGGACTCTTCCATTTACTTTAAAGTAGTCGGGAAAGCAAGCTTCGGGGGAACGGGGATATAAACTGTTCAACTGCCAAACTCTCCGGCGAGGTGGTGAGGAACTCGGACGAGGCTTTGTCGAAGGGCAAAGTTTCGTCCGGAGAGGTAGACAGGCCCTGAACCCATTTATACGGGTTCTAAAGGAAATATTTTTGGCCGAGCCTACGGGCTCGGAGAACCCATAATAAACCGGCCTTGTGTCACATACGACCCACGTTTGGGGGGGGGCAGCCGTTAAATATAACGGTGATATAAACTGTTCAACTCTCCGCCTATGCGGAGAGGAACCCGGACGATGCTTTGCGGAAGGGGAAGGGTAAAGTGTCATCCGTGGAGATAGATAGGCCCTGAACCTATTTATACGGGTTCAAAGGGAATAATTTCTTGGCCGGGCTTACGGGCTCAGAGAACCCACCCTAAATCGGCCTTGTGACACGTGCGGGGGGCGTTAAATATAATGGTGATATAGACCGTTCATTACTGTCAAACTCTCTGCCTCGAGAGAGAGGAAACCGAACGAGGCTTTGCCGAAGGACAAAGTTTCGTCCGGGGAGGTAGACAGGCCCTGAACCCGTCTATACGGGTTCTAAAGGGAATCATTTTTTTGGCCGAGCCTACGGGCTTGGAGAACCCACATTAAACCAGCCTTGTGCCACATACAACCTACGTGGGGGGGGGGGCGTTAAATATAACCGTGATATAGACTGTTCTACTGAGGCTGTTCGCAGCTCCTGTCGAACTCTCTGCTTTTGGCAGAAAGGAACCCGGACAAGGCTGTGCCGAAGGGCAGACTTTTGGCCGGGGAGGTAGACAGACCCGAACCCGTTTATGCTGGTTCTACAGGGAGATTTTGTCCGAACCTACGGGCTTGGATGACCCCCGTTAAACTCGGCCTTGTGCCACATATATTCCTCGTGGTGGGAGCTGTTAAATATCGACAGTGATATAGACTGGACGCTGGTCAACCCACACACACTCCCAAGTCGGGTAATACACTTCTGTTTGTATTTACCGTTCAATACTCTATTTATCTGCAACCTCTCGTTTTGTTATTCTTTAGCCAATTACTTGGTCGCAACATAAAACCTCCCCCCCCAATGTTCTGCCATCTATTTACCCCACTGACTTTCCTCATCTCTCTTGACCATAAGTTGTCCCATGTTACTTTCGTTTTTCCAACCCCTCATTATGTGTCCAAGGAATTTCAGCTAGCTTTTCCTGATTTTGAATATTAAGTGTTCTTTCTGCGGTCATTTTCTTTAAGACTTCCTTGATGCTTACTCGTTCCATCCATAGAATTCTCAGTATCCTTCTGTAGATCCAGATTTCTGCTACCTCTATTTTTCCAGATCCATGGGTAAGTAGTCCAGAATTCGTTGACATATAAGAAGGTGGATATCACATATGAATCCAGATACTAAAATAAGAAAAAAAATGATTGTCTGTTATCCGACGAGGCTAATGAAGAAATGCTTCAGTTCTTTGGCAAGCTAATCTACCATAATTACTGCCCAGGTATTAATAAGCATTAAAAAAAAAAAACTTTTTTTTACCTATTGTCAGCCTTAACAAGTGAAAGCACGCACACACAAATTTTTAGTTTGTGTATAACTGTTGCCATAGTGGTTATAAAAAAAGTTCTTGGGTCGTGCAGGATAGAATTTTTCGTATAACATTTGGTCCAATTCATTTTTAGAGGCAGGATCAAGGGGGCTGATGTATAAGTTGTTTTCTTTATTTTCTAACGAAATTTATCTGTTTCCTAATGATCTGCTTAACATTTGACATGCATTTTTGGCTGCAAGACAAAATGGTCTGGACCTCGTCTCGCTCCAAGAATTATCTAATTACCCACTGTCATCCTTTATTTCAGTAATTCTTAAAGTTTTTCCTTGATGACACGCTTTTCAAATCACCAACAAGTTCTTTCAGCGTTTCAATCCTCCAATCCGTTCTCTCAACCCTTTCAATCCTCCAGTCAGTTCTCTCAACCCTTTCAATCCTCCAATCAGTTCTCTCATTCCTTTCAATCCTCCAATATGTTCTCTCATCCCTTTAAATCATCCAATCAGTTCTCTCATCTCTTTCAATCCTCCAATCACGTCTCTCATCCCTTTCAATCATTCAATCAGTTCTCTCAACCCTTTCAATCCAACAATCTGTTCTCTCATCGCTTTCAATCCTCCAATCAGTTCTCGCATGCCTTTCAATCCTCCAACAAGTTCTCTCATCACTTGGAATCCTTCAATCATTTCTCTCATCCTTTTTAATCCTTTAATAACTTCTCCCCCCCTTTCAATCCTCTAATCAGTTCTCTCATCCCTTTCAATCCTCCAATAAATTCCTTCATCCCTTTCAATCCTCCAATCAGTTCTTTCATCGCTTTCAATCCTCCAATCAGTTCTGTCATCCCTTTCGATCCTCCAATCAGTTCTGTCAACCCTTTCACTCCTCCAATAAGTTCTCTCATCCCTTTCAATCCTCCAATCAGTTCTTTCACACCTTTCAATTCTCCAATCAGTTCTCTCACCGCTTTCAATCCTCCAATCAGTTCTCTCACCGCTTTCAATCCTCCAATCAGTTCTCTCACCGCTTTCAATCCTCCAATCAGTTCTCTCATCTTTTTCAATCCTCCAGTCAGTTCTTTCACCCCTTTCAATCCTCCAATCAGTTCTCTCATCGCTTTCAATCCTCCAATCAGTTCTCTCATCCCTTTCAATCCTCCAATCAGTTCTCTCATCGCTTTCAATCATCCAATACGTAAATATGTTATAAAATCACTTCAAATATAGCCATTTTGTTTCAACACTTCTGCTGTCTTATCAAGTGATGGTGTTGAACACCATCACTTGATGAGACACCAGAAGTTTTGAAAAAAATGGCTATATTTATAGCTATGTCGAAAGAAATTGAATATGTTTACAATGATTTTATAATTTATTTATGTTATAAATTTAGAATAAATTATACCACACATTATGAAATTATTTAAAGACATTTTTATGTTTATACGTTCTTTTTATAGATACAAATATTTAAGTAAATCTCTGTTTATAATAAACAGTATTAATGACATTTACTAACCTGAAGGTCCGAGAAATTTGCATAGAAATGCGTCCTCCGACAGGAATCGAACCTGTATCCTATACGGAACCGTCATACAGCCTGACGTGCTTTTACCCATTCAGGCCAGTAAATGTTATTTAATACTGTTTATCATAAACAGAGCATTTACTTAAATATTTGTATCTATAAAAAGAATGTAAAAAGACATTTTCTTTTACTTTAAACCTTCAAGGAGAATTTTTCACTGCCAGTTCGAGAAAGACGTTTGGGTCACTAACAGAAAAAAAAAGACAATATCTCATATCGAGAATATTTAACATCGATATCATCGAACTTTGCAGACGCACTTGCAACAA